GAACGACGAAGTGGAAATACAGCCATGTGGAAACCAAATTGGTGAGCTATGGGAGGGGTCAAAGAAAACAATGCGAACCATGTTCTTCATCACCTGGATTCTGATGCTAATTACAACAGCAATGATCATTATCAGTATTTCAAAATGAGTCGGTAGTCGAGTTCATGCATTTCGCGTTATTAGTCAATGTTTTCTTATTCCGAATTTGTAATGTTTAATTATTCCAATTTCGATCATATTGTTGTAGTACTTAAGATCTTGTAATATAACCCTTGAAGAAGTATGTTTTCTCGATAAATATAATTCCAAGCTCCTGCCAAACCACCGTAATTATTGTGGACACGAAATATAAATTCGTCTTCGTGGCTTGTTCCATAAGTACGAAGCAAAATAACGTAACATACATTTGGAATATATAAATACAAGAGCAAATATAACAAGACTGTGGAACGGATCGGTATATAAAAACAAGATGTGACACACATAGGGTGAAGCTTTACTGCAAACTTAACGAAACGATTGGTAGTAGAGGATTGTTTCGACANAATATAAATTCGTCTTCGTGGCTTGTTCCATAAGTACGAAGCAAAATAACGTAACATACATTTGGAATATATAAATACAAGAGCAAATATAACAAGACTGTGGAACGGATCGGTATATAAAAACAAGATGTGACACACATAGGGTGAAGCTTTACTGCAAACTTAACGAAACGATTGGTAGTAGAGGATTGTTTCGACATTTCAACTTGGAAGACATATCCAGTTACTTAATTATGAAAAGGTGATAGTCAATGACTTAATAAAAATTGGTTTTATGGTTATACAATGCAATTGCTCTTTTTTGTTTGCTAACATTTGGTGCAATGTTTTAAACACTTACATTTTTAGTTTGGCTTCAACCGATGGTTTTAAATACAAACCGGATTGGCGGTCGAACTATTTGGGCTTATTTGTTGAATAACCTAAAAAAAAAGCAAAATTAGTTTTCTAGAGAGATGGTAGAGAGAGATAGGAACACAGAAGGGGAGAGAGAGTGTCTTTTTGGTTACTTAATCAATTTTGGTTTTTTTAATGTTATTGGATGCAAAACATATCTGGATTGAGTAGATAACAAAGACACACAAAAAAAAAAAAAAAAATTGTCAACAAACCCAAAATCCATTCGTTATAAATAGTTCAGATGACTGGTTTCGTGTGCGTCAAGCAAGTTGAATTTTGGCTTCAAGCGACCATTTAAACTCTCACGTGTTTAGTTTATGGCTGAAATTAAACAGGTGCACGATCATATAGCTTGTTTTCTGCGTTTATAGTCATCTGTTAGTTCTTGACCAAAAAAAAAAAAAAAAAAAAAAAGTCATCTGTTAGTTCATCTGGATAATGAACATGTGTCAGTCTTTTTCTTCTACTGCAATGACATTTTTGGTTTGAAAGACCGTTTAAGCTGAGAAAATCGGTTTCTTGATATACCAGTGAAAAGAAAGCATGTGTTTTGTATATGAATTTATGCCTTGTGGGTAGAGGAGTAACAGAGAATGACAATGGAAGAAAGTCAGGATGATCCAGAAGTATAAAGAGAACACTTCTTTTTGCTTACTTTGAGATCTGCACACCAGCTTGGTCCACAAAGGCACAAACTAATGTTAAACGAGTAACTTTGAGAAAATTCGTTGCAATTCTAATAGCATTAAAATCCTTAAGATTGGTAAAAAAAAGATTCGGAATAATCCTTCAACATTGGTAAAGAAAGACAAGACTAATATATGTCTCACGCACACTAAGTAACGCACTTTGTAAAAGATGAATACAAAAGCAGAGAATTGAGAGATTCATTCATTCTTCCATAGCTTCACCAGTCACTTCTGTAATCTCAACTCGCTCCATCAATGGTGTGATTTTCGTGCGGAGAACCTCTGTTTACAAATACACAAGAAACCAAATTAATTCAAAGTCAGAAAAATGGATAGGATAGAGTTTAACTGTCTCAGATGCGAGTTCTCTTAAGAGCCTAAACATTTTGTGTTTGATTCAGTAAAGAGAGAGAGAGAGATTGGCTTACCAGTTTTCTTGGTGAATGAATAGCCGTTGCTGCTGACATAGGTTCTTGGGTTTGGTTCCATGTAATTCCTGAGATATTCCTTGTTCCCCTGTTTGCCCAAAAATACAATGTCAAATAACAAGCTCAGCAAGTAACGAGTAAGACAGGGAAGAATGCAAAAGAGTTCGATTTGAAGTGTGATTTGCATATATCTAATGGTAATGCAAGAGTCTCAACGGCCATTTACTAGGTCACTCTAATGTCTATGATTAGGCATATGCTGGCAAAAAGAAGTTTGGTAATTTAATCACAAGTAACAGGGAAGACAAACCTTTGTGATCACACAGATGTCGACGTTGCTACCACTACCCAGGTCGTTGAATATTCCCGAGCATATGGCTTCAGCCACCAGCTTGATTCCTTCATCCCTCTGGATGATATTGTAACATTAAAATCAATAAGAAGGTAGAAAAAAACAAATGTTGAAACTAAAAGATGAATGTTTGTCTGATTACTTACAGTTAGACCTTCTTTATATTTTGCCTCAAAGACAGACATGGCAGCAAGAGAACCAGAACCCATTGTTGCAAATGGTAGAGTGTCTGTTGAACCGTGTGGGTATATCTGTGCATAAGTCAAAAAGTAATATAAATAAACAACAACAAAAAAATATCTTTTTACAGAAGATAGCATGTGTTTAAACTTACAGTATGCAGATGTGGCCCAGTGATGTCGACTCCACCAAGGACAAGAGCAGCAGAGACATGACCTTGATAGCTGTATGAAGTTTGGTTAGTTAAGTCATCTATGATTCTCTAGGAGATGAGTTTATAAAGAAAAAAGTACCTGAAAAGATGTTTCTTGAGTAGAGTCAAGGCAGTGATGACCCGAGAGTCACGGCCTGTCTGGTAACGATGCAGCCTCAGCTGTGAGCTGACCATATCTAGACAAATGAGATTGAAAAACAAAGATAAACAAAAGCATCAGGTTCTTGTGGAGCAAAGCATTAATATCAAATTAGATAATAGTTCTTAAAGAGGGGAAAACAAACAATCAGTCAGTCATACCAGTAACAGCTTCCGTATCAGCAGCTGTTCCAGCACCACAGCAATAAATGTTAGGTGCCATGTAGTGAATCTTCTCACAGTTCTTATCAGCAACGATAGGCCCTTCAGTGGCTCTTGTATCCGCGCCTAGTATCACACCATCCTATTCAAAACCCCAAAATCAAAAATCAGCTTAATACAGCTACCACAACCATTTACTAAAAAATAACAAGAACATACACATCTTCACATGTAATAATTAATATCTACACAGAGAGAGAGACGCAGAATTAACGAAAAAGCAATCTAGTGGCTGAAAGGACTCAATCATAGTCCTCACAACTTCTTCACTAATCAATACATACCAGCACAATAATTATGTAACAAAATAGTATCCGGCTCCCCGTTTTTGCTAAGATTAATTAATAACAAGTTGATAGAGTAAGGCTAGAAAAAAATCGTACAGCGAAGCCAAAGAGATAATGAAACTATGTAATATGTATCACACCATCTTCCTATTCAAACCCGGATACTGAAAATCAGCTTGATAAAGCTCCCAATCTTGAAAATAAAACCACAAGAATACACACATCTTCACATGTATAATAAATATCTACACAGAGAGAGACGCAGATCTAACGAAAAAGCAATCTAGTCGCTGAAAGGACTCAATCATAGTCCTCACAACTTCTTCACTAATCAATGCATATCAACATTGTAACAAAATAGTATCCGGCTCTCACTTTTTTGCTAAGATTAATAACAAGTTGATAGAGTTTAAGCTAGAAAAACCATGTATAGCTAAGCAAGGAGATAGCAATTAACGAAGAAGCGATAAAAGAGCAACAATGATAATAGCACAAGAACACAAACATCTTCTTCACATGTTTACAATACTGAAAACATATTAACAACATTACTGTAACTATGGCTAAGATTAATAATAACCAAATAGATTACATTGACTACATAGAGTTGTTAGGTTAGAACCAATCATGTATATATATATATAAAGGGAAGAGAAAGAAAGAGGAGTCACCTTGAAGATGAGACCGACGATGGTAGTACCGGTCTTCAAAAAGGAGGGAGATTTAAGACCCTTTTGGATTAGCATATCGTTTCGCTTGCACAGATCGAAACTGAACCCACCCTTTGCCGGTACATCATAGCTTGACTGACTCATTCTCCTCGAAATTTTGACTTAACTCTACAATTACACGGAGAAACAAAAAAGAGAGTAAATTTCAACATCAATCGATTAACCCAGAAAGCTTGTTCCCCAAACCAACCAGAAGCAATTAGGGTTTCAATATCAGAGCGAAAAGACTCAGACCCACATTAGTAAATACTAAATTCATCTACGGAAGAGTAAATCAAAACCCTCGGATTGAACAATGGAGATGAGAAAGTGTGAGTACGTACGAAAAGCTTAAGAAAAAATCGCAACTTTAGAATAGTGATTTACCTGGAAAAGAAGAACTCTGCTTAAATCGAAAGGAACAAAGCTCAAGGCAAGAACCAAAATATAAAGACAAGAGTGTTTTCTTCTTCTCCAATTAACCCCTTTCAGAGATCCATCCAGGGGCATTCTGGTCTTTCTTTTTCACTAGAGATTCCAGTTGTGATGGGCCTTTATTCCTTGTTTCAAAGCCCATCTTTCAATACTTCTAAATTTGAGCCCATCTATGGACGGTTTATAATATAGATTTTTTTTTTGTCAACATAATATAGATACATATAATATAATGATTTTTTGTTTGTACATAATATTATATAAAACTTTTATAACTTGATATTATTTGGTGTAAATGTACTATTCATATTTTAACCTGTTTTATTTTTTTTTAACTTATTTTAAAATGAAATAACATTCTAAATATTTTATTTTTCTGCATTAGTTTTCTATGAATTTTATGATATTTTGTTTTCTTGAAAAACTGAACTCTCAAATTTTTTTATATTTGACTGAAATAAATAAAGTAATATTCTATTTAATATTTTTATATAATATATATTATATATTTCAGTTTGTATATTTATTTTCACCACAAATAAACAAGAAATATTATAATAAATTGATTTTAAATAAAGTGATATAATATGTAAATAAAAAGAAATATAAAAAGGAAGTATTTAATTTATTGTGAATGCAAAAATTGGTTAAATGTGTAAGTAAATAAAATGAAGTATTTAATTTGTTATCTCTATTTTCAAACAATTCTTATTTATTATGTTATCCATTTTGGTGTTTTTGAGGTCAACCATCATTGGCAAATACAGTGTGTTACATAAACCTCTTATGTTAGTTATTCTATTCATGTAAATTGTGTAAACAGTGAACTGAATGTTATATAATCTCTTAGTTATTAGGAATTCTCATGTAAATCGAATGGTTTGAGATTCACCAACAACACTCCATCCGGTCTTCAGTCATCTAAGTAACTAATCAGTGTTCATACTCAACATGATGACCAGACACATTACATTGAAGAACTTGTTATACCATTCATAGAAATTGAATTAGACCAGCCAATTCAATCTTTGATCAGTGTCTTGCAAAGTCAGAATCGGTTCTAAACCAGTTTATTAGGAGGAAAGAAAAAAAAAGTATACATATCAAACCGGCCATAAAAGATTACTACTGCTAATTCCACCGGTTTGAACGGTCACAGCCCATCACACCATCTCAACATCTCCTAACCATACATACAGTCTTTAAGCCAACTAGCTAGCCAGCTCCTGAGCATTCTTGACTGCTCCAACATAGAAATGCAATCTCCATAGCATTATATTGTCCTCCTGAAACACACACAGTTTGTGCAAAAGTCCTATTAATCTTCCACCTTTAACTTACCAGACAACAATCTATGTAACTATGACAGTATTATATTCTGTCTTACCAACTGATCCAAGTTGGCTATAATCTCGTCTGAAAAATCCTTCCCAGATGTTCTGCAATGTTCTTCTACTATTCCAGCAACACGGTCGCGGTTTCCCCCAGGTAACTCCATGATTGCTTTCTTAAGATCTCTCTTTTCCTCTAGACTCATCGGTCTGTTTTACGAGAGTCAATAAGTAAACCATTAGAGAAGAAGAATGTTTCAATTGTACATTAAAAGACTATATGTACCTGCAAGTAGCCACTACATTGTCAAGAATGTTCTCAACTTGCTGCTGCATATTATCAAGCTTTCCAAAGGTAAAAACCAACACAAAACAAAAAGTTATTAGCATTTCTCTCAAGAACACATCTTTAATCTTTGTGTGAGACAGAAAATGATACCTCATGAAGAAGAACATTAGAATACTGGGACGTTAATTTCTTGACAATATCAGGGTTAGACAGAAGATTCTGTATATCATCTTCCTAAAGGAACCATTGTGAGTGAAGAAGAAGAAGAAAAAGACAGAAAGTAAAACAAAAAAAAAAACATAAAAGTTAAAAAGACATACTGTTGCGCATGTGGATGCTGCAGGAACGTTAAATTTGGTTGCATTCTCTGAAAACAGTTTCATGCTACATACACGCATATGCATCTGCGATTCGAAAAATTGCATCCTAATGAATACTCTTTCATCAAAAGAAGAGTAGGAACTTTGATGTAGTATACCTACCTCATCAACTTGTGGAGTTAGATCCCTCACGCACTGCCTTAACAAGACATTCAAATCTTCTTTCTTGAGATGTGACATCCCATCTCCTATTGCAGTGTTGAAATGACTCATAGTTGCTTCTTGATCACGAAGTGATGTCCTGTCTTGTTGAGACAAGAGCTGAGATACTTGAGATCTGTAATCACCAAATGAGTCTGCAGGTTTGACTCCTTGTGA